GGGGGGGGGGGGGGGGGGGGGGCGAACCGAAGCCGTCCCCGGTGACGACATGCAGACTGAAAACGAGCATCGGCGGAGCCGCAAAAGGTAGTCCAGCTACCAACCGAGCAACCAGCGCCGAGCGTCAACATCACCCACGAGGGGGAGAGAAAAAAACAGACATAGGCGACGGCTGCTGCAACGATGGCGGGAGGCACAGACAGACGGGCAGGGCGGTTCGATACGCACGCATCACAATCAAAGCAAAGGAAAAAAACACAACAGACAAAATACCTAATTAGTCGCGCCGATACGTACGGAATCAGACTACTAACGTTGTCACCTTTTCCTTCTCGACCGGTTCAGCTCCCTCTTCGGGGTCGACCAAGTGCCCGTAACCTTGGTACCCCCAGCCCAAGTCCCGGAGGAACCTGTACGCTTCAATGTCGCTTAGCATGTCCGGGTCGGGAGGTGCGGATTTGCTCCGGGTCGTCCTCGCCCCTCCTGCCGTCGATCGCTCGGGCACCAGCGGTGCCGATTGCCGTCTTCTCACCGCCGCGGCCGCCGGTCGCTCCTCCGGCTTGGGAAGCGGTGCGGATTGCCTTCTCAGCGCCGCGGCCGCCGGTTGCGCTGTCCTCCTTGCCTTGGACCGCTCCCACTTGGTGAACTGCTTCAAGAGGCGAGGCCGGCTGCGAACGTACTCTTCAAGCTGAGGAGGGGCGGACGAAAAGGACGTGTGCGCGTGAGTGAGTGCGTGCGTGCGCATGAGTAAGACAAACCAACCAAGATCATTATGCGAGTGCAGCAGCACGTGCCCACCAGTGCTTACCAGCGGCGGCGGCGGCGGCCTTCACCCTGAGAGGCCAAGCGTAGAAACACAAGAACGCCTCCTCTGCGGCGACTACAACGTTCATCTACGTGATTCACAGAGTTATCATCAACGGACGAAAAAAAGACAACCTTATCGTGAGCAATGTTCCGAAACGCACGTCCTCGTCACACTACCGCAGCCAAAATCACCACAACGCCACTTGTCTCATGGTTCACCGTATCACACACATTTTCCCCCGGGGAACCCCCATCCCAGGGGGGGGGGGGGGGGGGGTCGCAGACTAGAAGCCGTTGGCATGTGTTCTCTCGCACGCACGGGCGCAAATTCGTTTGGAATGGGCGGTTGCTTGATCGACGACGCTGCAAGCGGTTGCACCGAGGCCTCCGGGGGCCGGCTCACCTCCAACACACCCATGCGCTTTCCTTCGCCTGGCTTGGTCATGGTTTCCCAGCTTGATGGCGCGTACTCCCAGCCCACAACTTCCCTCAAGAAATTGGTCAAGCTTTGCTGGTCGAGTATTTGCAAGCCCGCTGTACCCTTCAACCGGCCTCTCGTCGTGCGCACCGGCTGTGTAGGTTGGGGAAAGCAAGGACGATGTTGTGGGTCAAACATGGGGCGGTGCCCGGGCGTGCACGCCAGGCTGCAGAATAAGAGAAGAGAAGAGCTGGGGGGGGGGTCGTGAATTATGGTCAATTCTTTACATTTGGAATATGTCGAGGAGGCTGCTCACTCCGACCGCCAATTATCTAAGCGTGTCGTGTGTTGTTCGTTGCCATCTACGGTCAGGGGCAAAGTTGTTTACCCCTCCGTACCGGACAAGTGCCAAAGTTGACCGGCACTGTACAGTAGTTGAGGCTATCGGAAACTTCTAGGCAGGAATCTCATCTTTTGCAAAGCCGACTCGTGCTAAAGGCATCGGCGATCCTCGTCAAGCCGGCTAAATACCCACCCAAAATTGGTCCAGGCGGAGGCGGAGGTGAAGGGTTGCGCAATACGATACGCCAACTCATACCGTCCGTACCCAAACGAACAACCCTAACCAACCGATGGCGTACAGTTTCGGCGCGGGGAACAGCGCGGAGATGGGAGGGGCAGCGGCGGACCCCCCAAAAGAGGAGGAGTAGGATCGAACGTAGGTCTTCCTTTGCCGTCATCACGAACGGTTTGGCCCAGTGTGGATCGACTCCCGTCTCTTTCTGTTCCTATATAACGTGCGGAACACGCCTACAAAGAGGAAGTCGATGAAAACGGCTGTGCCCTGGCTGGTCCGCAGGCCACGTGCGACCAACCAAAAAAACAAACGTAGACAGAGTAGGACCCTCGCCAATTCCACTGTACTGCTGTGTACCTTGCAAGACGTCGCCCCCGCTCCGCCGGCATGCCCTAGACTTGCGTGTGTACCCGCCCCCTCCTCCTCCTCCACATCCTCCTCCTCTTCCTCCTCCTCCTCCTCCTCCTCCTCCTCCTCCTCCTCCTCCTCCTCGTCCTCGTCTCCATCGTCCCGCTGTTCTTCTTCGCGTGGTTTCCTTGCTACCGGCGAGCAACTGTCGCCTGCCTCCTTGCCCTTCAAGTACTCATTGTACTCCGCCAACAGTTCTGGGCGGTCGACCACGTACTGCGGAAGCTGCGGGCGCGGAGCGGCAGGGGGGAAAACAGATGGCGTTGGGGGCGTGAGCACGACGTGGAGCCATGTCCAGGAGAGCACGCGAGCGTTCCGGGCACGAAGCTGAAAAAGGGATTGACCGGGGAGTATCGCCCAAAGGTGTAAGCGAGATCTTCCAGGGGCATGAACAACGGCCTTCACGGCACCCCTGACACACTACATGTGCGGCATCGACTGCAAACCCTAGCTGCAAATCCCAGAGGCTGCCGCAGCAGCAGCAGCAGCAACAGCAACAGCAGCACAAGTAGTATCAGCGCAGAATCAGAAGCATGACGACAACAACTACCATCAACGAAGACAAAGGCAACGACATTTCAATGACAACAGCGACAACAACGACCTCGGCGACGGCATTTCTTTCTTCGCCGACACCAACCGGTTGAATGCCCAATGGGTCCAAAATCACCCGGCATGAAAAACAAGCTCCAACGCTACCCACCTCGGCTTCCTCCAAGGGCTCGCAACCGTTCTCAGGCCCGACCACAGACCAGCCGTGACCTGCGTATCTCCACCCTTTTTTTTTCGCCATGAACGCGTACAAGCGCTTCTGATCCGGCAAATTAGAAGTCCCACGCGTCATCCGTCTCACCGGAACTTTGGGGGATTCTCTACCCCGCCCGTTCTTCCGCCCTTTCTCCTCTTCTTCCTCCTCTTCCTCCTCCTCCTCCACCTCCACCACCTCCTCCTCTTCCACCTCCTCCCCCTCCTCCTCCTCCTACACGTCCTCTA